CATGTATCTTCAGCCGGATGAAATGTGTGTCATACTAGCAGCCAGGGGCCCTGGGGAAGGCAAAAACCTGAAGGCCCTGGAGCAAAGCCACGAACCACTTGGGACTGAGAAGATACAGGGCAAAGGATTCTTAGCCCCAGATGACCCTAAATCCCAGCTCTACTCATTCCTAGCTGGTGTTCTTGGGAAAGTCTCTCCCTCCCCAGCTTCGCTGTCTCCACCAGCGGCTGTGAATCTCGGTTAGAGGTGTTGGCTTCTGTATTCTGGCATACTTCTGCATCCACCTGGTAGAATTTTCTGGAACTGAGGCCCCGTGAGTGGCTAGACACCATTATCGTGTGCTCTTCCGATATGATAAAATCACAGCCTTAGCCAGAGGCTAGTTAGGGCCTGCAGCCAACTTCACTTTCTGAGTCATCAGGAGGTCCAGCTGTTGTGTTGTGTTGTGGGCTGGGGAACCAGTGATGTAAAGGTGACAAGTCAGAAAGATGGCAACCTCAGATCTCAGAGTCCAAGGTGAAGCTGGCTGTGTGGCTGGTGGTGGAGAGCTTGGCAGGATGCTTCCCTGAGCCTCGGTTACCTCCTGTGGAAGCAGACAAGGTCATGGCGTCTCCTTCCTGGGGTGCTAACGAGAATAAAGAGGAGCTGTTTCCGTGAAGCTCTGGGGAGAGCAGTGATATTTTAGATGCACAGAGGTGGGTCATTACTGATGTCAGGACTCGGATTTTGAGGCAGGGTAAGAAAACAGAGAACATTATAGTGACATGGAAGGTACCTTGGAGCATGCCTGAGGAAGAAAAATGGCCCATTGTTTCTGGGCCTGGCTTGCCTGTCCAGCTGACGGTGTCAGGAAACTGATAAACCTTGTCTACTGAGGGGCCCGTGTTTGTCTGCAGACGTCTCCAGGCACAACGCTGGCTTCGGCAAGTAAGCTGTTACAGTCTGAGGATTTCCCTCTCTTTGCTAAACCTAAAGTGTCCTTCATAAATCCACCTTACGACTTTACTTATTAAAGAAAATTCCTTAACTTTCAACTATTATAAACTACACTTTGGGGCCAGTGTCACAACGAAGGAGAGGCTTCTTAGCAAACTTTACAGGTGTAACTTGAGCTCACCAAACTCCTGTCCTTTGCAAAGGAGGCTAACTGCGGCTCTCCCTTGAGAAGTCCACCCCATGCCTGGGTGCATCTCTTAATTCCTTCCTGGGGGGGTGTTGCTGTATGTATTAAATATATCCATCGATAAGCTAGCATGTTTTCTGTTTTTATGTATTGAGTTATTTTCAATAAGAAAAAAGAGAGAAAGAAACATACAGTAAAGGTAGTATCATAAATTCTTCTCTAACATGTAAAAGCTAAATTGTTTTTACAACTTTATCAAAACATTATTCCATTTGCTTATTGTTTGCTCTTTCAAATAATTCTTATACTCCTAAATTCTGATAAAAAGCAAGAATCCATTGACGTTTTAGTTATATTAAACATCGTCTTTATAATCAGTTTTCCACTCTTGTCTCTCTCATTCATGATTCCCATATCAGCTCTTAGGATCTTTTGGTTATGTCTTCAACAAGCAAATGAGCGAACGCAACAACTCCATCCTCTTCTTGAGTTCTCAGGAGCTGCAGCCGACCAGAAGCTGCAGCCGACCAGAAGCTGCAAATAGTCTCCAGCCTTAGCCAAGATGGACACCCAGGGTGGTTTCCTCTGTCTAAAGCCATGACCTTCAGTGTTCCTTCCCACCCGTCCCTTTGACAGCAGCCTGGTTGCTCAGGCTGCAAAAGGTGAAGCAGTAGCACAAGGTCCTTTTTGACCACCAAATCAGTCACCTGACAGCCCTCATTCTAGAGACACAGAAGAACTCTCCTCTTGGTGAGGGAGGAGCCTCAGCAAGTAAGAAAGTCTGGTGTGTGTGTGTGTGTGTGTGTGTGTGTGTGTGTGTGTGTGCGTGCATGTCCGAATTTTCAAGTTCTTTTCACGGCCACAGTTTGCCTCCCAGAGCCAAAGGCTGCCGGCTTGTGCCTATGGTTGGGTTGGTTGGTGAGCTGGCTCCAGCCATGCTTCAGAATTTCCGTTGGCCTCTAACAGCCAAGTTCTTTCAGTGTGTCCTCAGCTGCTTCAATCCCAGCCAGGCTGTGTGCCGAGCAAAGGCCTCTCAGTGATTTCTTTTTTGTGAAAAGTTTTAATAGTGTGATTTTTTCCCCCCTTCAAAAACCAATTCCGTGATGTTTGGCAGTCGGGAGCATCAGACTGGCTCTAGAGTAAAGACATTTCCTAACAGTAAATACAGCCCTTGGGGAGAGGAGACTGCTAGCACTGAATGTGCTACTGTGCTGCTCAGCCATACATAAAGAGTTTGGGAAGCATAAAAGTTTTCTTTAGTTCTAAAAAGATTGGAATTTATTTTTTAAATGCATGCCATACAATTCAATAAATTGTCAGACATAGGTAAGAATAAAAACAAGAAAGAAAGGCAGCACATATACCACATGGCTGCATTGTCAAAGCATGGATGCATTTTCAGCGAGCCCGTGAGTTTAAAAATCGACCACCCTTGGAGCGTGTGTGTGTGTGTGTGTGTGTGTGTGTGTGTGTGTGTGTGTGTGCATGTTCCTGTGCACACAGTGACCACAGGTCAATGGCAGTGTCTTCCTCTACTGTTTGCTACATTGACAGGGTCTCTCCCTGAATCGGGACTCAGGGATTGGCTGCAGTGACTGCCCAGCGAGCTCAAAGCATGGCTTGTCTCTACCCTCCACCCCACTGCTAGCACTGGATAACAGACACACGTTTCCACTCCCTACCTTTTCTTATTCTTATGTGGCTTCTGGGGATCTGAACTCGGGGCTTCATGCTTGCACACTGCAGTCATGTTTCTAGCACTGCCAGTGATTTAAAAGAAAAAGCCTATTAGCATATACCATTTCATGACGTCATTATGACATTTCCACACAAAAACTGCCATCATGATCGCTTGTCTTTTAACCATTTCTGCCTCCCTCCCTGTCCCCACTTCCCCATGTACCAACAATTATACACCCTTCCACTTCCATGTATTTTTAAAAAATTGATACTGCACATGATAGGAAACACATGGCATTTGTTTCTCTGAATCTGATTTGTTTCACTTAATATGAGGCACATTAGTTCCGTCTCTATTCCTGCAAATGACGTCATTTCAGTCTTGTATGCGGTTGCATTATACGCTGCGGTGTATATATGCCACCTTTTCATTTTAAAAATGTTTATTACTATTAGGAGTTGTAGTATTAATAGTATATCTGTGGTGTGTGTGGGTGTGTGTGTGAACACACATCCATGTGTACCCAAGTGCATGCCGTACCCAGCATGTGGGAACCAGAGGACAATTTTGGGGAGCTCTCATCTTTCACCATGAGTTTCAGGGGTGGGACTCAGATCACCAGACTCAGCAAACACCCTTAGCTACTGCACCATCTCGTCGAGTCTGGACCTGACAGCTTCATCCACAGGAATGACATCAGGATGACTCTATAACTGAGTTGTGTGAATAGCACAGCAATGAACACCAGTGTGCAGGTCCAATAGTTCAGCTTCATGTTTTCAAGGTTCCTTCCCACTCATTTCCAGGGCTATCTCATCGGAATAGGTACCCAAACTAATATCATTTCCCCCCTCATGTCAAGTGGGAACTTTGTTTCTTCTGTAAGGAGAGCCATTATCCTAAGTCTAAAGGAACTAGCTTGACCTGAACCGATGGATGCCTCAGGACCTTGTGTCAGCTGCTTAGACCTGATGAAAACAGTACTGCAGTGCTGATCTTCTCATGAACAGAGTAAAGCCATAATCTCCCTTCCCGGTACAGAAGCATAGTTTGAGCAGCCCCCGCTGTGCCTTACCATCCCCAGAGAATGTGGTAGAACCAAAGTCATGCTGACCACTGAGTTGTGTGATACTAGCTCATGTGGAAAGATTTGTACTCTTCAGAGGGATGCTGAGGTACCTGTATCCTCTGAGTCCCTGAGGAATTCTGGAACCCAGATTGGAAGTCCTCACAGATTGTAATTGATGCATTATATCAGTTTGCCTTCCTGTCACCAACTAGGACTTGCAGTCCCCCATGAAGGCTGCCTCGCCCTTCCATAAACACATCTGCAGCAGATGCTGAGCACTGGGGTGAAGGTAGTATGCAGACCAAATTTGGAGGACGTCGTGATTTTTCTCACTTAGTCCTTCAGTGATTCTAAGAGTTAGTTACTTTATCTCCATGTTACACAGGAAGAAACAGTGATTCAAAGACTTGCCTCTTGAAAGGAACTCAGAGGTAGAGAGACTTCAACTCCATTCTCTAAAGCAGTGGTTCTCACCTTAATACAGTTCCTCATGTTGGGGTGACCGCCAGCCATAAAATTATTTTTGCTGCTACTTCATAGCTGTAATTATTCTACTATTATGAATCTTAATGTCAATATCTGATTTGCAGGATATCTAATATGCAAGCCCTGTGAAAGGGTCATTGAACCCCCAAAGGCATCACGACCCCCAGGTTGAGAACTGCTACTCTAATGGTTATACTAAAATAAATGCTTTAAAGGGCTAGACTGGAGTGGGAAACACTAAGTATGTCAAGAGTTCTATTACAGAAATGTAAAATACTGTCTCTGCTGCATTGGTTTGGTCTGATTATCATAGTTCATAGCCCAGAACTGAGGTCTCTGTGGGTTAAACTGGACAAATCAGCTGTGGTGCCTGTTGGGAGCATCCATGGCTGGGCATGTCTTTATTTCTCAAGATGAGATGTCATTTGAAGAGTAAGTAATACCTCAAGCCAGAGTATGGATGGCACTGTATTCATTTATTGGGACCCAACAGATAGGAAACCAGAAGCAATTATCTTTGCTTCTAATTTCTTCTAAATGTTTATTCTTTCTCAAGGCAAAGGACAGTACACAACTTTGTGCTGATTTACTCTAAACTCAGCAGATTCTCAAGTGGCTTGACATCTTTTCTACTCCTGTAGGGGGAATAATGAAACCATTACACTCATCTAATGTTCGTCTTTGTTGCAAGCTTTTGATAAATAAAGCCCTGCTCTAAAAGAGGTATGTTCTTTTGATAGTCTTCACTTATCTCTTTTCCAAGGGTGTCCCAAATAGGTTGGCTACAAATGTTTCTGCTAATGAGATGGCCTGGAAGTGGCACCACTGTGGTTCTCGGCAATCTAGTCAATTTCATTGCATTGTTTGAGTCCCACCTTTGCTGAGATGGTAAATCTCATAACAGCCGTGGGTGGCAAATATGTGGGGAAGTTTTTAAACATAGTTAACATATTTGAATGTATCCGCTAGCTATCTTAACCTTGTAATTCTAACTTAGTCCTGGGAAACTTTAAGTACACAAAATAATTTCAAACCATTATAGGAGCTCTCATGACCTTAGAGGACTAATAAACTACAAGAAGCCACAGTCCCTCTAGTTTGAAGATGACATGACCATGACAGTCTGAGTAAATCCTCCCTTTCTGTAATATGGTTACAACTGAACTTGAATGTGCAGTACCTAGACTACTCATACTGTAATAATAAATTATTTCATGAAATCAAATTTGTACTGATTTGTCCTAATGACATTATTTTTTGGTTGTTTCTTGAATGATTCATGTTGAATTATTCAACTCTTGATGAGTTCATAAATTTTACTTATGTTGGCTTTGGCAGTGGACAGGTTGGTTTCTATGACAGGGATATGCTTAAGCATATACGATTAGACTAAACGCATAAGAAGTTGGTTTGGAAGAAATAGGCTTTGCAGATTGTTCAGTATTCTCAAATTATCCACCTGTGTCTTCCTGGTAGAATCTAACTTGCTTCTCTACCATCTGCATTTTCTAAAGCTAACTCCAGGGCTGAATGTTAAATCTCACCAACAATGTTACCCATTGGCAGTTATGCTGTGAGACTTGCTGTCAAAGGAGACATATACCTTCAAATAGACGACTGACCATCCCATCACATGACCAGGGATTATGAGCAGAGGGAGCATGTAACATGAGTGAACTGTTATGTACCCGTGCAATGTGGCATGAAGGTTGCAGCATCCTCTAAAGACTACTGGCAGCGTTATACTTGTTTTGAGCATATGGAGGGAGACACTCTAGCACTCCTTGGTTCATGCCAGTCAGACTCTCACTTCTTTAAATCCTTCAGGATATTCAGATCAAGGGAATCCTGGGAAATATTCAGATCAAGGGCTTCAGCCATTAAATTCATTTCCAATTTCCTTCTTTTATGTTATTGCTGTAGCTAAGACTTCAAGCACTGTGTTGAATATTCCTGAACTTAATGGAACTGCTTTGAGATTTTCTCTATTCTGACATAATAGTGACTAAAGGTTTGTTGTATATAGCCTTTGACATTGAGATAGGATCCTTCTCTTCCTCGTCTCTTTGGGGTTTTACCATGAAGAGATACTGAATTTTGTCCAGGACCTTTTCAGTGTCTACCTAGATGATCCTTAACTTTATTTATGTGACTGTGCCACCTTTACTGATTTTCGTGTGTTAAACCGGTCCCACATTTTTTGGAACAAAGTTAATTGGATCATAGTTAATTATCTTTTTGATATAATCTTCAATTTCATTTTCATGTGCTCTAGAGAGACCTTTTGTATCTATGTTCATTAGGGAGATATTATATGACTTTCTTGCTTATCTGTCTGATTTTTGATATCCTGATGATACTGCTTCATAAAAATGTGATGTTTCTTCATTTCCTATTTTATGGACTGATGCTCAAAGGATTAGTGTCAGGTGTTTAAAGCTCTGGTGGAAGTCTTCAGTGAATTCATCTGAACATGGATTTTCTTAGTTAGAAGATTATTATTATTATTATTTTTATTATTATTAATTATTATTATTATTTCAATTTTGCTGCTTGCTATAGATCTGTTGAAGCTATTTCTTTCATCTTGGTTTGATCTCAGTGTGTCACTTGCAACTATTCATATTTGTTAGGTTTTCTAATTTAGTGGAATATAACATTTTAAGGTGTGCTCTTGTGATTTGTAAATTTCATTAGTGGTATGGTTCTCTTTCCATCTAGTTTTAATCTTCTCTTTCTATTGGTTACTTTAACTAGGAGCTTCTTGATCATGTTTAATTTTTCAAAGAATCAACTCTTTGCTTCATTGATTTTTTTTTAAAAAATTTATTTGTATCTCACTACTTTCTACTCTGTTCTTTAAAAAGAGTTTTTATGCGTGTGTGTGTTAGTGACCATCTGCTATGTCTGCGCTTGTGCCGCTCAGATCGATCCCCTGGAACTGGAGTTACAGACAGCTGTGAGCTGCCATGTGGGTCCTCGGAAGGGAACCTGGATTCAGCAGAGCAGCCAGCTCTCTTTACCACTGAGCCATCTCTTCGGCTCCACTTGCCCTGTTCTTAGCTGACCCCTTTTGTCTACTGCTTTGGGGTTTGGTTTGTTTTTGCTTTCCCAAGGCTTCAAGTGTTTGTTTGTGATCTCTCTGATTTTTGTTTTAATGTAGGAACTTAGTAAACTTCCCTATATGACAATTCCATTGTTTCCCACATGCATGGCTATGTTGTATTTAATTTTCACTTAAGTCTATGAATTTTCTTATTGATTTTGTCAATGAGTCACTCGTTGTTCAATACATTATTATTTGATCTCTATGAGTTTGTGTGTTTTTTTATTATTTATATTTTATTATAGTCAGGTAGGATACAAAAAGTTATTTCAATATATTCATCAAGATTTGCTGTGTGACCTGACATATAACCTATTTCAGAAAAAACTGCATGGGCTGATGAGAAGAATGCATATTCTGCACCATGTAGATAGAATGTTCTGTAGTTGTCTGGTAGGTCCTTTTGATCGATGGTATCATCTAACCCCAATGTTTCTCTGTTTATTTTTGTCATGCTGGTCTCTATTTGTGACAGTGGGATTTGAAGTCACTCACTATTATTGTAGTGGCATCGACCCGTGACTTTGTATCTGGTAGCATTCGTTTTATGTAACTGGGTGAGGCTGTGCTCAGTGCACATATGCTTAGAATTTAATGTCTTCTCGATGGAGAGTTCCCTTAATCAATATGAAGTGCTCTCTATCTTTTTCAACTAATTTAGCAGTACTTTCTGCCTGTGTTCTCCTGTGTGTGTGTGTGTGTGTGTGTGTGTGTGTGTGTGTTTTTAATCTTTCCAGTATCCTCTGCAAATCTGATATAATGGTCATAAATCTCTTAAGCCTGCTTTGTCATGAAAAGTTTTCTTTCTCTTTTGTGATTGCAGATAGTTTTGCTACCCATTGGGCTAGGTAGTATTTCTGATGATGAGTTATATCTTTTCAGATCCTTCTGTTTTTTTGTTTGTTTGTTTCTACTGAGAAACTGTTATTCTCATGCTCCTGTCTTTCTACGTGACTTGTTTGCTGCACCTTTCAACACACTTTCTTTGTCCCGCATAGTTAGTGTTTTCATTACACTGTGATGTAGGACATTTCTTCTCTGACCCTGTCTGTTTAGTAGTGTGTCTAGATAAACATCCCTTTTTCTATATTTGGAGAAAACTCTGTTATGGCTGTGTCAACATTGTTTTCTATGACTTTGGTATGGAGTTCTCCCTTGTCTGTGGCCATAATTTGTAGATTTGGTCTTTTTATGGTGTCCACAAGGTCTCTCATGTTGCTTTCCATATGTTTTAAATAATTTATCTTGGTCATTTACTGAGTGTTCTGATTCTTTCACTGTAGACAGAGACTGCACTTTGTTTTCCCAGCCACCTAGACCTAAACAATCACACAAAACTATATTAACTACAACACTGTTTGGTCAACAGTTCAGGCGTATTCATACCTAGCTTTTACGTCTTAAATTAACCCATTTCTATTATTTTATATGTTACCACAAGGCTCGTGGTTTGTTACCTCACATCTTGCTTCTTGGGCGGCTCCATGGCATCTCCTTGACTCTGCCTACTTTCTATATCTCAGTTCAGATTTCCTGCCTGGCTTTACTCTGCTAAGCCATTGGCCAAAATAGCTTCATTCATCAACCAATAAAAGCAACACATATATAGAAGGACATCCCACATCATTCCACCATATCTTCAAGCCCCAATACTCCATCTTCTCTATGCTCCATTCTATTAGTCAGTGTCCACTGAGCATTTAACTTATTTAGGTTTCATTTATAGCATTTTAATTTGGTTCATATTTCTATCTCTTTATTTAATTCCATTTTCTTCTTCTATAGAGACATTTTAATTTAGCCAAAGAATGAGTTTGTGGCCTTTTGGAATCCACTCAGGAGTTTATTTGTGCCTTCTTTGAGTTTTTTGAACATATTTGTAATCATCTTTTAGTCTTTGGAGTTTCATCTAAGTTGCTTTCTTTAGGAGACATTGTAAGGTTGGCATAATTTGAGGAGACTTTATTGTCTTGGCTTTTCATGTTACTTGTGTACTTTCATTGGAATTTAAATATCTGAACTTAGATACTTATTTTTTAAGTAACCTTTCTTCTTTCAGTAGAAATACTTGTGAGGTTCAAGAGTAACTAGATCATAGCAAAATTGAAATAGTATTTACCTCTATTAAACCAGTTTTTCAGAAACCAGGCTTCATTCTCAGTCCTTTTCTGCGAACTGAGCTCTCTGGGCGACAACAATCACTATTCATGAATAGACCACTATAAAAACAGTAGCCATCAACTACAAAACAGTCACTCCTGTTTGAGCTTCTTTTCCTATTGCCATAATAAAACATCCTGACAAAAGCAGCTGGGGGCAGGAAGGACTTATAGCAGCTCACAGTTCCAGGTTACAGTCCATCACAGTGAGTAATCCAAGGCAGCAGGAGCTTCGAAAAACCCATCACATTGTACACATACTCAGGAATAGAAAGCAACGAATGCCTAGGGAGTGGTGCCGCCCAGAGAGGGCGTGTATCCCGACTTCAGTTATTGTAATCAAGGTAACCCTCCACAGACATTTCCAAATGCTTTTAGTCCTGATTCTAGGATTTGCCAAACTGATAATCATCACTAACCCGCACAATGGTACCTCCTGTCAACTTGATGCTCAAAAAATCAATCACTTCTAGTTACCTTCCACCACTGCCCCCAAGAGTTCATGCTTACTCATAATGTAAAATACAATCCAACTCTAAAAGTCCTGATAGCCTTTACAGTTCCCATACTTTGAAAATCCAAAGCTTTTTATTGTCTTAATTTATTTTATGTGTATGAGAATTTTGCCTACATGTATGTATGTGTGTCATGTATGTGGCTAGTGCCTGCAAAAGTCAGAAGAAGGCCCCAGATGCCCTGGAACTGGAGTTGTAGGTGGCTGTGAGCTGCCCACTGTGGAAACTGGCAACAGAAATCTGGTCCTTTGGAAATGCAGTGTATCAGTTTGCTTTCTATAACTGTGACAAAACACAGCGACCAAAACAACTTGGAGTAGAAAAGATTTATTTGGGTTATTCATCCTGATCACAGCCCATCACTGAGGGAAGCCTGCTCAGGAACCGAAGGCCGAACCCTATAGGCAGGAGCTGAAGACAGCTATGAAGGAACACTGCTTCCCTACTTGTTTGCTCTCCATGACTTTCCCAGCCTGCTTTCAACCCAAAACCATCTGCCCAGGGGTGGCACCACCCACTGTGTGTTGGGCCCTCTCACATCAATCATTAATCAAGAAAATGCCTCACACACTTGTCTACGGGCCAATTAGATGGAGGCATTTTTCTTAATTGATGTTTTCTTTCCCAGTTGATGCTAACTTATGTCAAGTTGACCAACCCAGCACAAGCAGGATTAAATCGTAGGAGTATTTAGATTGAGGATAGAGATCATCACACTGATCTGTATAGAGCACACACACACATTTGACTGTTGCCATGTGTAGGAAGGCCCCACATCCTTACAACATACGATGTTCTCAGGTGTTCTGGGCTTTGCTAATACCACTGCACTTTTAGTTCTGTCTGGCCTTTGGGTTTGTTATTTGTGTAAATGTGAGCCTGGATTCTGCTTCCTGTATTTAAGGGCAGTTGTCTAAATCCCTAGAAGGCATTTAAGCATCAGATTAATGTAAGACAAATGTTTGGGGTGAGTGAAATGGTGAGGCACTCCACATTTTTAGAAACCTAAAGACTTTCAAGAATTCCAAATGCCTCCTCTCCTCGAGTCCTGATGGAGTAAGCTGTGAGTTTTCTGACTCCGTCGGTGGTTATTGGCATTCTGATAATTCCCAGACACATCCAGAGATCGTCAGGTGGGAAAAACACCCTGACATGTTATGATCATGTAAATTCTGATGATGACATCTACCCTTTGCCAAGGAGCCTCTACCTAAGAAAACTGTCCCTCGTTTGAGGCTGTCATCATTTCTACAGCTCCCTCTGGCACCAGGTCTGATGTGGACGATTCTCCTTTGGGTTTGGGGTACATTTTGCAGCCCTTCTTTTCCACTCTGCTTTTACTGTTTATTTTATCCCCCTCGACACACAAGCTAATATTTTGGTTTATAGATTCCTGGGATACACAGCAGTCTAGTCTTTTATCGTGGCACAGTATAATAAACAACAGAGCGTGGCAGCAAGACTCTGAAGGCGAGATGAAATAAACTGGCGTGATGGCAGAGGCCCTGGTCCTCAAACCAGAGAACCTGCCAGGCGTGGAGTCTAGCCATGGGCTTGTGTGTTAGTCACTGTTTGGAGAATGCGTGCCTGCATCTGAAACCAAACTGTCGTAAAGGTAGAGAGAAACAATGGGCTCAATGCACATTTTACATATAGTCATGTCCCTAGGTGTTGGGGGCGACTTAAGGATTACACAAAAGTGGGAAAGTGACTTTTCAGTCCGCTCCAGTGAACAAGCTAAGACTTGGATCCAGGTTCTTTTCCACTTCAAGTCCAATGTACTTTGTACTCCCCTGTGTTCTCTCTAACATTGCTTTGCTGGTATTAAGGACCATATTCTAGTTTCTGCTTACTTGAGGTTCATATTATTCTCCAGGTTTATACTTTCTGCCAAGGAACAGCCTACTGAATCACTGAATTCTAGTAAATTCTCCCTTTGCTTATAAGGACAGACCCGGCCTAACTTACTCCTTCCTTCCTCCCTCCCTCCCGCCCTCTCGCCCTCTCTCCCTCCCGCCCTCCCTCTCTCCCTTCCTCTTTCTCTCCCTCCCTCCCCCCCCCCGCCCCGTTATTTTTTTCAGAGACAGGGTTTCTCTGTGTAACAGTCCTAGTTTTTCTGGAACTAGCTCTTGTAGACCAGGCTGGCCTCAAACTCAGAGATTTGCCTCTGCCTCCTGAGTGCTAGGATTAAAGGCATGTGCCACCACTGCCCAACTCCAGCCTAATTTCTAACTAGTAAATCAGCTCTATAGTTGGAGTTCATTGAATCATCAAAGCTTATGGCTGATATTTAGTGCCTACTATTTAACACATGTTAGGCTGGTACCAATCACTTCCCATGAAGTATCTTGCTTCATTCTAGGAGAGAGTGACTGTTGTCATCTCTTGTTTACAGAGGAAAGTGAGTGGCCGGTGAATTTGTTTCAAGTCTCAGAACTAATGATTGGAGTCACTGAGGTTGGAACCCATGCAGTTTGACACCGAGTCTGATGCTCTTGGAGCTGGAGTTAGTGACAGGCCCACTGCACTGAAGGCCCTGAGTGAGCCCCTGCTACTGGTCAGCAAGCATGCTTCCACCAAGCCAGGCTGGTCTGGGAGCAATAAGATGTAACAAACAAAAACTTGTTAATCACGGAATTAGCCCTGAGTTTCATTTTTGGAGAAACTCTTGAAAGATATTGAAGACTGTTGAAAGAAAGTATTTAGAACTTGAGATCAGATTTTAGGAAAAAGTCAAATCAGGAGACTTCCTTCCTGTCGCTACCCCTGGTTCTGGAGTTTTCTTGTGCATTCAGTGCTCAGAGTGGTTCCTTTGAATTTCTCAGCACATTATAATGCACATTTGCTCTTAAAAATGCGCATTTTTTGTCTCCCACCACAATGGCAAAATTTGCTTTGGCTATTCATCAATGTAAAACTAATTCCCTTCAATGGGGTAACATAATAAAGGTTCACAGTACTCCCAGGGAGGATTTAGTGAAGCTCAGTCAGCCCCATAATTCTTCCTCTCTGATTGCCATTTTCAGCTGAAAGAAGAATGATAAATCATTAATACGACCCCGAAATTCTAAGCAAAAACCTACTGCTTTAGAATATATTAGTCTACTTTTAATGTTCATGTACATTTTAGAAGAATGGCTTAGTAACAGTATTTTAACTACTTAAAATGATAACCAGCAGTCTGCCCGCCCGTCATCGGCAGTGAAATGCGGAACTAAACTACAATTGCTCATTGCAGTCTCTCCTGGAATGAAATTCGTTAATGATGGCATAGTTATAGTGATACGGAAAAGGTCATCTTCTTTTGTTTATTGTCCTCCTTTAATTAAGTTGGGGGTCTTGGAAAGTCTTGATGGATTTATCATTTTTTCTCATAAAGTAAAACAAATGTCACTTGTATGTAAAGGATCAAGCTAGTTGCTTCAGAGCCAGAGAGGGCTTTGAAAATCATGCATTGGAGAGGTTCTTGGGAAAGCATACCTGAATTCAGTCTTGCAGCTTAATTGCATGAGGATGAGCAAGATTAGGAAACAAAAACTAGGGTTCTGGCAAGAAGGGCAGATTGGCCCTCTTGCTCATTTGCTGAGTTACTTCCCCTCCTCTGTATCCAAAGCCAACAGGCCACCAAGACAACAGGAGGCAGGATGCATTGGGTGGAGCTGTATTTGCAACTGGGAACCAGTGTGCTTAGGCCTTTGAAAACCAGGGCAATGCTAACAGTAATACATAAAGTTTCATTTCATTATTTGTACTAACATTTGTGCACAAAAGTGAACATTTGCTGATTCCTGCTATGTTATTTTACAGACTCTACACATTGGAAAGGAACAACTTTCACCTGCCCAGACAGTCCACAAGAGTGAATCCAATGAACTTCTCAGTCAGGCTGCGACGCTATTTTCACTGTGGAGCTAGGGAAACCAAATAATAACAAACTAAAGGGATTTGTTCAAGGTCTATGGGAGATGCAGGAATTGGGGGTGTCAAAATAGCTTGTGCTAATTATCATTTGACTATTCTCTTCTTCATTTGCATTTTCTTCAACAGTGTGTTTTTTTCTCTGAAGTAGAAAAAAGTGATTCTGAAAACCTTTTTCCAAATAAAGCAAGCTTTGGGTATTTTTGCTGTCAATAAGTGTATTCTACTATTCTTGGTTCCAGGTAAGCTAAATTGCTAGGGGTTCAATTCCAAATGCTCCTATTGCCACTACTGAGTCTCATGCTTGACAGCCAAGGCACAGGATGCTCCCCTAAACTCTTATGTAATTTGGGGATGGGGGGAAAAGTGAGTCAGTGATGAGATGGTGGGGAGCTTTACGGACTCCTTCCTGCTGCTTCTGGAGCTCCTGGAGGGATTACAAGGTCTGAATTGGTTTCAGTTCTCTTTCAGATCTACAGCATTTCATAACATCATTCCACTGAGCATGCTTTTTGTAGCAAAAGACTCATTACTCATGGTGACTCTGAATGGTATCCAAAGGCTCTTGTGCTGTCTCCATCGATTTAACCTCGTGGGTAGAAATCTTCATCCATGGCTGTTGATTGGCCCAGTATGCAACTGTACTCCTATACAATATGTGGAAGAGAGAGAGAGAGAGAGAGAGAGAGAGAGAGAGCAGGTTCATTTGGACGCGTGCACGCACATAGATGAGACCACGTTATATTTTGAGACATGGTCTCTCATTGAACCTGGAATTCATCCTGCCTCTGCCTCCCCTGTACTGGAACCAGAGGGACATGCTGTTACATCTGCTCTGGGTGTGGGGGTGGGAGGGGCTTGAACTCAGTTCCTCATGCTCACGTGGCATGCACTTTACTGACAGTGTCGTTTTCCCAGCCCCACTACAGGGATTCTTAAAAGATCCGAAATCTTAGCAAGGCCAATTAGAACTTCACCATGACTATTGGAAATTGAGGGAAACTACAGAAAGCCAATGACACCAGCAAGTCTTTAAGAAGTCAGAAACAAAACTCTGTGGGAGTCTATAAGGACATTTCCAGAGAAGTTTAACCCTGAATGTTCATGTCATAATTCCATAGGCTAGGGACTGTACTAAGAAACCATAAGTGTTCAACTCTGTTTCTTGACTACAGGCACAGTGTGACCAAGCCACACCTTCTCTGCCATGGTAGACCATTTCCCTTCCTACACCTTGAGCTCAAACAAACCCTTCCTTTTTTTTAAGTTGTTGCAGTTGGGTATTTTGACAAAACAGAAAGAAGAATAATGGGTAGGGAGTTCCCTCCTTTTGTCCCAACTGTATACACACATACTTCTCAGACTCGTATTTTAACAGTTATAGTATGGTTTTATTTAGCTCAATCATCAATGTTCACATCATTAGAGGTCTGCTTCATTTTTGGGTGTGCATGACTTGAATTTGCCTTTCGAAAGGTTTTATGATCTTCTTGCTCCCGCTTTCCTGGTAGTTCTTAATGTTATGTCTTGGCAGGAGTCTATTTCATGTATATTGTTCTGTGAATTTTGTGAGCTATTCAGTCTGGGAGCTCACAGAAGTTTTCTTAAAACATTAATTTTCTTCTCATTCACTTTCTTTGTTCTCTTTTTCTACAACTCTGTGCAGATCTTGACCTTCCTAGATGGCTTAATAAAATGCTGTTATTTTAGTTCGTTTTGAGACAAGGTCTCGCTATGTAGCTCTGTGTGGCTTGCAATTCTTTATGTAGACCAGGCTGTCCTTGAACTCAGAGTCCTGCCTGCCTTTGCTTCCTTATTAATATATATACTATAATATAGTATACTATATACTATAATATAACTATACTAAAATATAGTATAACATTTAATATGTTTCTATATAAAAAGCAAACATAAATACGTAGTTATATTCTATATAATCATGGATTCTGTTTTCTTTCTATAGTTTTTTCACTGCTTCCTAGGAGATAGATTCAACGCACCTTTCCATACTTTCTGTTGAGCTTCAATTCTGCCATGTTTTCTATCTCTGAGAGTTCTTTTATGTTCCTTGAATTTGGCTTTTGAAGTAACATTCCAACCTTGTTTCTCGGATTTCATATCACTGTTCATCTATTTAAGAACATCAATAATAACTTTATTTTGAAGTTTTCTCTCCCAGCATAGTTTATTTTTCCTCCAAACTGCTTCATTTATTTATTTTCTCTGTTTGTAGTTTGTCTGGTTGATCTCTTTCTTGCATGTCAAAGTCCTCCCTCATCTGTCTTGGGTGTCTGTTCGTGTCTAGTTGTGGGAGAGTTTAAAAGTTGATGGGAAGGTCTGAGTAAGCGTCAGGGCAAAGGATCTGACCAAGGCATGCACTCTAGAAAACCTCGGTAGTCCATGGTTATGCATAACTTCGTGATGGTTATGCCATCAGAGTCCTCAGAGAAGGCTTTTCGATCTTTCTAGTTGTTTTACCAGGAACGAAAGGTTCTGGATGAAACCCTCCTGAAAGCTGATCAAGCAGACAGGACTCAGAGTAAGTCTCGGCCTTCAGTGTCTCCACCATGATCTCCTTCCCCTGGATTCTGTGGTGGACACATGTGGGTAACCCAGTCTGCACTATCCAGCCCAGTGGATTTTTTCTTCTTACTTTCTCTGGAAAGTAAATATTATTCTGTTGCTAGGGTTGGGAGACATCACCAGGAGCAAGAGGTGAAGAAGGCGTCTAGGGCAGCAGTGTTTCTCCCCAGTCCTGATCCTCCCATCTCAAGCCACGATCTTTCATGCCATGCACAGCTCTGTCTGATGTTACCATTCTCTGTGTATTTGATGATCCTTTGGCAGAACGTGAAGCAGCTTCAAGTTTGACATTATTCAAATTGCTTGATCAGTTTTTAATGGGTTGTGTTCTTGGGGCTTCCAAGGTTTTTATTTTTGTTTCCTTCTTTATTCTCCAGTATTCATAGGTTCTTATATTACAAAATAATTATTCACACCGAACTTCTTTGCTTTGTTTTTTTTGTTGTTGTTGTTGTTGTTGTTGTTCGTTTGGTTGTTTTTTTTTTTTTTATTTTTTCATACAAGGTTTCTCTGTATAACAGCCCTGGCTGTCATAGAACTCACTTTGTAGACAAGGCTAGCCTTGAACTCACAGAGATCTGGCTGTCTCTGCCTCCTGAGTGCTGGGGTCAAAGGCATGTGCCACCACCAACTTCGTAGCCTGGAACTTTAATCTAGAAGTCAAATCTCACAACTCTCACCCTTAGGGCAGGTACTTCTAAAGCCTAGGAGAGCTGACCTCTCCTGAGTCTAGGGCAGATACTTCCAAAGACAAGGAGAACTGATCTCTAGTGGGTCTTGGCTGAACAAGTCACTAAAGATGTGTTTTTGAGATGTAAGGAAAAAAATTGATCCTTGAAGAGAGGAATATAACAACAAAAATATCAGTAGGTACAAGAGCCTGGTGAAGACAGTGTGAATTGAACACATCTCTAATTGATCTCTCAGTTTCTAGAAGATTCTGGTGATGCTTGGTGTGGTTACCAGAAATGCAGAAGGCCGCCATGATAAAAAGCATAGTCACAGCTAGACCCCTTGCCAGACATATTGCCTTGTTCTTCAGTGACACGTATAGGCTTGGAGCCAGTGTTCCATCCTACATGAGACTCAGTCTAAATCATTAAGATAAATATTCAGATATCTCATTTGAACTTGTAAGTGACTAAACAAATACAACATCCATTAACAAAATAAAAAAGGTTAAGTCTGTATAAAATTGTAAGAGGGTAATTTAATAAATCAACTTTTGGGGTCTGGGGAGAAATTTATAGGGGTTTCTAGATGTTTAAAAACCAAGATAGCTCACCTGAAATGTCTCCCTCCGTTCTTCTCATCTGTTTGCTTTTCCCTTGAGTTGTAATGAAGGCTCAAGATAATTCCCTTCAGCCCCTAGAAATACAACTTTGTAAGAGGCAGATTCATAAATGCAATTCCATTTTGCTTGAAACACATTATGTCATCAAGAAAAGATTTTCATTTTAATTCTGGAGCCATTTTCCACATGACCATTTTTAATGTCCTAGGTGTTGGCTCCTAGAACGGCATCCATTCGATAGTTGAGATCATTCATCTGTTCTGATATAACATCATGGCTGTGGATTATTAATTGTTCAGTTTGCACACGTACATCTTTGTTGTTGCTTGTTTGTTTTTCAAGACAGGGTTTCTCTGTAGCTTTGGGGCCTGTCCTGCAACTAGCTCTTGTAGACCAGGCTGGCCTTGAACTCACAGAGATCTGCCTGCTTCTGCCTCCTGAGTGTTGGGATTAAAGCATGCGTCACCACCACCCGGCTGCACACATACATTTTTAATATCGGTGCCCCTCATCCCAAAGGCAGAATCCCATGTGAAAACCTATTTTGATAGGTAAACTGTCTCATAAATTTGAAACATCAGCCTGGACCTGTGAAAAGCTTATGCTGTGAGAAAGTAATGCCCTCTGTTTGTACAGGATTTGAGCAGCACGCTGCGGGCAGTTTGGAGCTCTTGGGCAATACAATTCAAACTAGCGCCCGTGACTGCCTTGTGAGACAGTGCTGTTACTATTTCCATTTTTAAATATGGAGAAAACAAGGGACCAAGGAATGTGCTCTAGGCTCACAGACAATAAGCAACAAGCTACAAGTTGAACCCAGTCCACCTCCCTCCTGAGACAATGGTTTCTCTAAGAAAATCCTGCTCAACCCTCTGAAAATATATAGTCCTGCTCTTTAAATAGCCTTTTCTTTCTCTCCTGTGAATAGTACTATTACTTGATTTTGTTGATGATGAAAAGATTAAGCTTTTGTGTTCTTAGTCGCTGTTCTCTTGTTGTGAAGAGACACGAGGTGACTTGGTAAAGAAAGCTCTTAATTGTGGGCTTTCTTAGTTTCAGAGGATGAGTCTACGATGTCACGATGCGGATCATGGAAGCAGGCAGGCAGACCTGGTGCTGGAGCAAGGGCTGAGAACTTCTGTCTAAAGCACAAGCCCGAGGCAAAGAGGGTTGATTGGCGATGGTGTGGAATTTTGGAAAGCTCAAAGCCCGCCCCCAATGTCGCACATCCTCCAACAAGGCCATACTTCCCAAACATCCTTCCCAAATTTTGGGAGCTGTAGATCCCTGACCCCTTGACTTTCTTTGCCTGTATCTGCT